ACAAGAAAACCTTGATAACTGAGACCGATTCCGCAAAAGCAGTTGTTCCGCCCTCGGTCTGCCGTTTCCCCCAGTTGTACTGGTCAATTTCCCACTATTTGCTGCGTGGCCACCCACACACACACCCTGATTTCCCCCGCGTCTTCTTGATTCTTATTTTTTAGGATCAAGAAGACGCAGGGGAAATGGGGGGGGGGGCGGTGCGGGTTTAACACTTGGAATTCACTGCCACAGGAAGTGGTGGCGGCTACAAGCATGGACGGCTTCAAAAGGGAATTAGATAAGCATATGGAGCAGAGGTCCATCAGTGGCTATTAGCCACAAGGTATAGATAGGGACTCTGGGGCAAGTGATGCTCTGTCATCTTGGTGCTTGGGGGGGTCAACAGTGGGAGGGCTTCTAATGTCCTGGCCCCACTGCTGGACCTCCTGATGGCACTGGTATTTCTGGCCACTGTGTGACACAGAGTGTTGGACTGGATGGGCCTTTGGCCTGATCCAACATTGGCGTCTCTTATGTTCTTATGTTACAACCGGGGGGAACAGACCGAGGGCGGAACAACTGCTTTTGCAGAATTGGTCTGAATATTTATTAAGAATATACACTTATTTGGTATTTCAAAATATTCATTTAAAAGCATCTATATTAGACTTGTTAATTCCATTCACAGTGTTTATTTGGTTTTGATAAGTGGCACACTGTGTTTTTCCCCTTGTTTTGTCTACCATCTGGAGGCTGGCGATGCTGACTTTATGCCAGTTTCAGCTGGGTTGCCGTGTTGGTCTGAAGCAAGAGAACAAAGTTTGAGTCCAGTGGCCCATTTAAGATCATCAAGGTTTTAGTCTGGGTGGGTTATCAGCTTTCATGTGCACGCACACTTCTTCAGATACATTGAAACAGAAGTCACCAACCATTACATATAGGTAGCGGGTGAGGAGGGTGTTGCCAGGAAGGGCCAATTAGAGCTAAAACTGGATTGAGGCAATTGGTAAAATCTGTGAATAGCAGCAAATATAGCTAAGATTGTATTGAGGCAATTAAGGCAATTGGTGAGACCTGTGGATAGCAGCAGATTAGCATACCGCATAATAAAAGTTTGCAAACAGATGCGAGAACTGAATGACATTAGCCTGTGTCGCGAGGTAAGAAACCGATATCTCTGTTAAGCCCTGGGGGTTCCATTGTCCTGAGTGCTATAACTATAATGTATTTGAAGAAGTGTGCCCGCACACGAAAGCTTGTACCCAGAATAAAACTTTGTTGGTCTTAAAGGTGCCACTGGACTCATTCTTTATGCCAGCTGTGACGGATGTTCTCAGGCTGGAGTGGCTTCGGGAGCTAACTCCCGCCACACCCCCGGGAATGTTCCTTTCTGTGCCAGCATGATGGGTGCATTGGCATATCTCAAGCAGTTGGCCATGGTGGGGGGTTACTGGTGCCCAGCTGCTGCAGCACTGCACCAGTGTAACTTTGGAATATTTATATTTGATTTATACCCTGCCCTCCCCACCAGAGCAGGCTCAGGGCGGCTTACATAAAATTTTACAACAGATAAAACAGAACTAATATAAATATGAATATAAAACCCATCATAAAGTGCTAGTAAGTAGTTTGTAGAACAGTGGTGGGGCCTTAGTCGCAATCAGTTACAATAAGGAGTACAGTCAGCATTTGATGTTAGGGCTGACATCTCAGAATATGTCTGTGTGGTACCCAGTCGGCTCCCTGCACGTTCTCTCCACCCTCCAGGACTGCGCTGCTGTTATATACCCAGGAATGAAACCCACAACAAAAGTCATCCAAGATTTTGATGCACTGTAAAGACGGCTGGATCAGTGGTGTTGTGTTTTATTAGGGGGTGGGCTGGCTTTTTGGAAGGGAAATGTAACTTCTTTCCCATAAACTATCCCGAGCGCTATAAGGACCGAGCACGAGTTTTGTTTTGTTTTTAAATCAATGCATACAAATAAATAAACCCAGCAAGGAAAGAACGTGTCCAGTGTTCCCTCTAAGCTGAGTTAGTGTGAGCTAGCTCACCGTTTTTTAGCCTCCGGCTCACACTTTTTTGTATTTGCCCAGGAAAGATGTGGCTCCAGAGCAAACTAATTTATGCAGTCGCTGGCTCACAGCTTTAATGCCAGCAGCTCACAAAGGAGAATCTTTGTTCACGGGACTCCACAGCTTAGAGGGAACATTGAACGTGTTCCAATCTCATCTTTGTTCAACAGGCGTTCTGCTCCTTTCCTGAGCATTTCCTGTTGCAAAGTTGGCTGAAGAACTGGATTCCTTTCTATTCAGCTTGGGGGGGGGGGATCTTTGTTCTTCCTGTTAGAAAGGCTGTTGGTTCTTACCAATAAAGAACTTCTGGAGACAGACCTTTTCAATGAAGCAGAATAATCTTTTATTGAATACACTTCTTGCAAGAGTGGGTGCACAGCTCAAAAGAACTGAACACACCCAATGGATATAATCCTAGCCTTAATATACATTTCTGACCCGACGTAAGGAAAATAAGAAACACCCTCTTTTAATTATTTTTATTTACTTCTCCTGCCTACACTCCAAATAAGGTAATCTCCTCATGGAACACCACAAGCCCATTCTTTAGCAATTGTGGTTACTTCTTGTAGATACTTTTTCCTGTCTATAGGGTCCCAAAATCACAGAACTTCCTATGCCTAGCCTTGTCTTCTTTCGAAATGCTTGTTTGTCCGAGGCAACTTCTCCTTTCTGCTAGGTTAGCTACAACTAAATAAAAATACAACATTACTTAGGTGAGATTACACACAATGAATTCCTTTATGCTAACTATCTACCTAAGATTTACTGGCACAATAGGCAGAAGTACTATCAATAGTTCCACTGAAAAACCAGATACTTTTCAGGTTGTTATTGATTTCTGGTGTAGTGACCCTACTCTTTTTGTAACTTCTGCTTTTCCTCAGCCAGTTTCAATCTTGTAGGCAGTCTACCTTCAGGGCTATTTTTGGAGCCCATTCCTCAGCAATTGAGGTTACTTCTTGTAGACACTTTTTCCTGTCAATAGGGTCCCAAAACCACAGAACTTTCTATTCCTAGCCTTGTCTTCTTTAGAAATTCTTGTTTGTCCAAGGCAACTTCTCCTTTCTGCTAGGTTAGCTAAAACTAAAGAAAAATACAATATTACTTAGGTGAGATTACACACAATGAATTCCTTTACGCTAACTATCTACCTTTAAGATTTACTGGCACAATAGGCAAAAGTATTGTCAATAGTTCCACCGAAAAACCAGGTTATTGATTTCTGGTGTAGAAGTTAGTGTTTTTGTAACTTCTGCTTTTCCTCAGCCAGGTTCAATCTTGTAGGCGGTCTACCTTTATATTCGTCTGATTTCAGTTCCCTTATCCAGCAGGTTGTTTTTCTTAGCATTTTAATCCTAATAAGCAATCTTTATTCAGCATTAAGCGATAGATTTTTATTTCAATAGAGCAAGATGTTTCTTTTTAAGCTTTTCTTGTCAAAAATCCCTTTGGCCCATTTCTCACATTCCTTTGGGCCTTGACCTATGGGCTGGGTTTGGACTTACCGGATGAACCCCGGTCACATTGCTGATGAGGGCAAGGCTCAAATGTGTTAAAGAATCAAGTGAAATAAAACCATCCGGTAGCTCCTACGTAGTGCAATCCTCAACAGAGTTACACCCTGCTAAGCCTGTTGGCTTCAATGGACTTAGAAGGACTTAGAACTGAAGGGTATTGTTCTGTTTAGGATGGCAACAGCAGCATGAGGGCTCTTTTTGTAGCAGGAACTCCTTTGCATATTAGGCAACACACACCCCTAATGTAGCCAGTCCTCCAAGAGCTTACAGAGCTCTTCTTACAGAGCTCTTCTTCTTGTAAGCTCTTGGAGGATTGGCTACAAGGGGTGCCAAATATGCAAAGGAGTTCCTGCTACAAAAAGAGCCCTGGGGTCCCCAACCTTCTTGAGCCAGTGGGCAGTGCTGGAGTTCTGACACCGCATGGTGGGCGTGGCCACAAAATGTCTGTCCAAAATGGCTGCCACAGGAGGCGGAGCCAGCCACAAAATGTCTGCTGCAGCTTAGCTTCAGTCACGCAGTGAGGATCCTTGTACTGCGGTGAGAACTGCTGCCAAAACAACATCTAAAGAAAAATCTGCACAGCCCATCAAGTCTCCAGTAGCTGATTTTGCTGGGCAGGAGTCCCAACCCGGCCAGTGTTCCCTCTAAGCTGAGTCAGTGTGAGCTAGTTCACAGTTGTTTTACCCTCCGGCTCACACATTTCCCTCTTAGCTCAGGAAGGAGGGCTCCAGAGCGAACGGATTCATGCAGTAGCCCGATCGCTCGCTCACAACTTTAATGCCATGTAGCTCAGAAAGTGGACATTGGACTCAACAGCAAAGAAGAAGAAGAGGAGGAGATTGGATTTATACCCTGCCCTTCCCTACCCAAAGGTGTCTCAGAGCGGCTTACAAATTCCTTTCCCTTCCCCCTCCCCACAACGGACACCCTGGGAGGTAGGTGGGGCTGAGAGAGCTCTGACAGAAGCGGCTCTTTTTCAAGAACAGCTCTGACAGAACTATGGCTTGCCCAAGGTCATCCAGCAGGTGCAAGTGGAGGAGTGGGGAATCAAACCCAGTTTTCCCAGATTAGAGTCCGCGCACTTAACCACTACACCAAACTTGGAGGGAGCATTGCACCCGGCCCCACCCACTTTCTAAGAAATACTTGGTGGTCATCAGGAAAGGTGCCGGCAGGTACCAGGGCATCATGGGCATCACGTTGGGGACGCCTGTTCACCCAACCCATCATGCGTTCCCATGCACCGGGGGGGGCAACAATGCGCCGCACCATTTCTACACTGGCATTTCCCTCTATTGTCTTTAGAGCCGTTGTTTTATTTTTGGAGTTAACAGATTGGTTAGCAGTGAAACTTTCTGTGATGAACCGATACAGGCGGCAGGTCACCGCCCTAACTGTTTCGTTTTCTCCCTGTCCGGCTAGAGCATCTTGAAAGACAACTTCACATCCTTGGTGGCCGAAGAGAGCTTGCAGACAGGTGAGGGAGCTCCCAGGATTTTTCACCTCCAAAGAAGCTTCCCTGATATGAGGGTTCTTCTAACTTCCCTGCTCTGATTTCCGGAGTGGATCTGACCCATTACGACGCCAGCATTGGTTCTGGTTTTTGCTAAGGTTGCCAACTCTGGGTTGGGAAATTCCTGGAGATTTTGTGGGTGGAGCCTGGGCAGAGGAGGGCCTCAGTGGGGGATAATGCCCTAGAACCCGCCCTCTAAGGCAGCTGTTTTCCCCAGGGAAACTGATCTCTGTCGTCTGGAGACCTGTTGTAATTCCAGGGGCTCTCCAGGATCCCCCTGGAGGTTGGCAACCCTAGCTCAAAAGGACAGTTCTGCATGGGGATTTTGCTGCACATTCGCTTCCTTCTGTTCGCTCACGTTTCTTCTTCTCCAGCTCCGCGGCATTCGCTGACCCATGCGTGAAACGCTGCAATAAAACAAGGGCCCTACGCTCTTCTTCAAGCAATGCTAAAAAGTCATCGACACCAGATGGGTCGGCCGTGAGCTTAGACAGCTTTAAAGAGGGAGCAGACCAAATCGTGGAGGAGGAGAAGCCTATCGATGGATCTTGGCCAGGACGGCTAAATAGAACTTCCAGGTTCAGGGGCAGTGTATCTCTGACTACCAGCTGCAACGGTCAGCGGCTTCCAGGGCTTCCATTTCACCACCATGGGAAAGCAGGACGCTGAATTAGATAGACCAACTGGTCTGATCCAGCAGGTACCTTGAACACATCGAGCTGTCTTGCACCAGATCGGACCACTGGCCCACCAAGGTCAGTGTTGTCTAATCAGACTGGCTGTGGCTGTCCGGGGGCTCAGGTAAAAGGTCTTTCCCATCGCCTACTACCTGGTGGTTTCGGGTGGAGATGGCAGGGATTGAACCTGGGACCTTCTGTATGCCAAGCAGAGGGCCTACCACGGAACCTCAGCCTCTCCTCTCCTGATGCCCTTCTTTATGACTGAGCTGAGATCCTGTTTGTTCAGTGCTTCATCCACATGCAAGGGAAGCTGCATGTCTGCCACCCAGGAACAGCTAGGGTTTCCAGGTCCCCCTTGACCATTGACGGGAGATGGAGGGATAGGGTTTCCAGGTGGAGCCTGGGGAGGACAGGGACCTCAGCAAGGTGCAGTGCCCCAGAGCCCGCCCTCCAAAGCATCCATTTCCTGCAGGGGAACTGATCTCTGTTGTCTGGAGAGGAGCTGTAATTCCAGGGGATCCCCAGGTCCCACCTGGAGGCTGGCATCCCTAGGAACAGCCCAGACCAAAAGAAGGGTTGTGCAGCATTTTTGGCAGCATTTCATCAGTGTGCGTTGGCCCTATGGAAGAGGAAATAGGGTTGCCGGCTCTGAATTGGGAAATATTGAGAGCTTGGGAGGGGGGCGGGATCTGGGGAGGACAGGGTTTGGAGAGGAGAGGGACCTCAGCAAGCTATAATGCCACGGAGTCCACCCTCCAAAGCAGCCGCTTTCTCTATAGTCTGGTGGTCAGTTTGGAACACCTGGAGATCTCCAGGTCCCCAGCTGGAAGTTGGCAACCTAAGAGGAAGACACCGAGGGATTCTGTAGCGTGCTCAGCAGCCTCTTAGTTCTGGAATTGATTCTAGAAACTCTCGGAGTCAAACCGGAATTAAGGAGGAGCGAAGTATAAAAAGGTAAAGGTTCCCTTACTCGAAAGCCAGTCGAGTCCGACTCTAGGGTTGTGGTGCTCATCTCCGTTTCAAAGCCGAAGAGCCAGCGCTGTCCGAAGACGTTTCCGTGGTCATGTGGCCGGCATGACTAAACACCAAGGCGCACGGAACGCTGTTACCTTCCCACTGAAGTGGTACCTATTTATCTACTTGCAATTTCTTGCTTTCGAACTGCTAGGTTGGCAGGAGCTGGAACTAGAGATGGGAGCTCACTCGGTCATGCGGCACCCGGGTCTCGAACTGCTGAACTACCAACCTTCCATAGCCTGCAGTTCAGCATCTTAACCACTTGAGCCACCGCAGCTCCATCGAGCGAAGTATAGGGGATAGCAAACCTGTGAAGCAGTAACATCTTGTCTACAAGGGGAAATTAACCAGAGACAAGTTCTGCCTGGTGGCAGTTGAGGGAGGAGCTCCGGGTAGAGTCTGCTGGAGCCCCTGACTCAGTGAGCATTTGTATTTCTCCAGCAAGACATTCCAAATTCCGCAGAAAACAATGCTAAATTGCAAAGCCCGGAAAGAAGGCCAAATTGACGATATCTTGCATAAATCACGCCACCACTTCAAGCTTGTGGAACTCCGTCTCCCAGCAGGTGATGTTGGCACAATTTAAGGTAGTCCACTGGCCAGTTTTCTGGTCATCCACTTTCCTACAGGATGTCTGGTTTTCCCCAGTTCTGGTCTATTGCCAGATAAGGCTTTTTTCATATAATGAAATAGGCTACTTTTTTAACTGCTTAGTGTCTTTTTTTGGCAGAGGAGTTAGCCCTATTAGTCTGTTGCTGCAAAATAGTAAAAAGCCCAGTAGCCCCTTTAAGACTAACAAACTTTATTGTAGCATAAGCTTTAGAGAAACACAGCTCTCTTCGTCAGAAAGCTTATGCTACAGTTTTCCGGCAAAGGAACTTGGCTGCGCTGCACCCTTAAGCACTTCGTGGTGTTGGGCAAAAAGGAAACCAAACTTTCCTCTATGTCAAAACATCTGCGGATGTGCCTGTTGTACCACAGCCTGGTGTTGGGCTTGCAGACAATTTTCACTTTCCTTTTCCGCCCAGGCTTTTCTGTGCCTCAGAGGCACCTTCTCTAAACACTGTGGCTGTCTTGGACTGCCTTTCTCGCTTCCCTTTCCCTCCCGATTGAGACAGAGAGCAAGAGGGGTGCACCACCGATGAATTAACATTGTCTATTGGCCTCGCCCATTAACCTCGCTGAGCCTGATAGGGTTACCAGCTCCACCCTGGCCACCGTCGGGGGATGGGGGAATTGGGTTGTCAGATCCAGGTTGGGAAACCAATGGCGATTGGGGGGGGGTGGAGCCTGGGGAGGGCAGGGGCCTCAGTGGGGCCCAGTGCCACAGAGCCCACTCTTCAAAGCATCCATTTTCTCCAGGGGAACTAGGGTTGCCAAGTGCCATCTTTACCCCCAGCAGGGGACTTTGGGGGGTGTTCCCGGAAGGGAAGGGGCATCCCCAAAGTGATGGTGTCACGTTGGGGATGTCCCCCCGTTGGGGATGTGTCCCCCCCCCCGCCTGCCCGCTCGCTCTTCCAGCACGCTGGCTCCCTGCAGTTAAAAGGGCCCCTTTAACTGCAGGGAGTCGGCGTTTCCCCGCGCACCTGACCTCCGCGGTGATCGGGCGTGCGGAAATGCCAGCTCCCTGCAGTTAAAGGAGCCCTTTTAAGTGCAGGGAGCCAGTGTTTCCGCGCGCCCGATCTCAGTGGAGATTGGGCACATGGCCCGCAGCCACCCCTCTCCCTCCTTTCTCTCAAGAGAGAAGGGAGAGGGGTGGTGGTGGGGCTTGGGGGCAGGGCTTACCCTGGCGGCCTGCTGGCCAGCGGTGGGTAGAAGCCCCCAAAAAGCAGGAGAGACCTACCAAACCACGGGGTTTGGCAACCCTAAGGGGAACTGATCTCTGTAGACTGGATCTCTCTCTCTCTCTCTCTCTCTCTCTCTGCCTTCAAGTCACAGCTGACTCATGGCACCCCCCCTAGGGTTTTCAAGGCAAGAGAAGTTCAGAGGCGGTTTGCCGTTGCCTCCCTCTGTCCCAACCCTGGACCTCCTTGGTCCTCTCCCATCCATATACTAACCAAGGCCGATCTTGCTCAGCCTCTTGAGATCTGATGAGATGAGGCTAGCTTTGGCTGTGATCACACGCTCCAGTAGATCCGACATAGGCACGAATGCCTGACGGACCTAAAGGGAGCGATCAGACAGCAACATCTGGGAACCGTCCCGCAGTCGTTGGCAACCTGTGCTGCTCTGCCGCAGAAGCAGAGTTAAAAGACACCGGGGAAATTCCAATAGTAAACAGGTTCCGATGGGCCACGGACGGACTA